AAAATGTTTTTAATTGGGCAACAAATCTTAATTGTACACAAGAAGCATTTTATTTACTTAATTCAAATCCAGGTGATATTGATATTCTTGCAAGAGATAAATCAGGTTCATGTTCTTTACATTATGCTGTTGAACATGGAAATGAAATTCTTGTTCATGCTATTGTTAATTATCTTGTACGTTATCGATTAAGATTTGATATAAAAGATGGTCATAATAATACTCCAGAAGATATAGCAAAAAAGTTAGGCTATACTAAAATAGGTAATTTTCTTACTCAAGCATGTCGATCAACGGTATTTATGTCAAGAGAAATACCATTTCAAAAATTACGACCACAAACAAATAAATCAAAACGAACAATAAAGACAACTATTAGTACAATAATAAGTTCATCGGAATCATCATCATTTTTTTTAGATTCATCCGAAAATTTTAATATAATAGAAGCAAAAATCAATGCAGCAAAACAATTAGACGATTGGAAAACAGTTGCAACATTACGAACTTCAAAAAAAAATTCAAATAACATAAGTAAACATCTTACGAAATTTTCTATTTTTAATAAATATTTCATAAAAATTTTTAGTGAAACCTATTCCTGAAATCAATAAAAGTACATCATCTATTCCTTCTCTTCCAAAACTTCCACTAATTAATAATACTAAACAATCTTTTAGTCAAGCAGAACAAATGTTACGTTTAATGGAACTACAAATATCACCATCATATAGACAACCATTTATACCAATTTATCGACGTTCAATCAATATTAATACTGTCTTACAACGAGCAGGATTTGGATCACGTAAAATGTCACATGCATCATCACATAGAAGATCATCAATATTAAGTCTTCGTAAAAGAGATTCTGAAGTTAGTCAAATAAGTAATTCTGCGATACATGACATACAAAATCGTTTTTCTCTACCAGCAATTTATAAATCATATCGACAATCACTTGTGTCAACGAACTAATCAAACTATACTAATATTTTTTAAAAATTTCTGTTACATTTTAAATCCTAATAAAAATTTTTAAAATATTCGTGATACATTGTAGAGTTTCATATTCTTTTACTCAGAGTCTCTAATCATCTATTAATAACAATATTTTAAATATACAACAAATAGTATTTTAATTAGATAATTTCATCAAAATTTGATAAATTAAAGTTACGCAGATCAATCAATCATATCATAAGATCTTGTATGATCCTAATGTAAGATCCTATACAATTTATGTATGATCTTCCAAGGCTTCTTACAATGTTGCATATCTGTTTTTCGGTTTCTCTCATCTTATTTTCTTAATAAAATCTTTTATCTTTACTCTGATATGCATATTTATTTATAAAAATTACAAAAACAGAACAAAAACACAAATATGTACTTTAAAAAAAACTTAAAAATAAATTATTTTTATTTCTATTTTTTTGATCTTAAAAATGATCTAAAATAATAATAAGAAAATCTACTAAATTTGTCCATGCTAAATTAGAATTCGACTAGAAATCAATTCATACAATCATATGTTTTAATAAAAGTTGAGTAGAATGATAAAGTAAAAGGTAAACATAAATTTTGGTGTCAAGTGTGATTAGTAAAAATGCAGATTTTATTAGTAGAATAAATAAGTTCTATTCGTATACAGTTACATTTAGCACAAAAAAAAACCTAAAATGTAAATAAAAAAAATATAGAATAAATTAGAACAAATACAAAAGAACATTATATAAAAATTCAAAACATCCATGGGGACAAAAAGAAAATTCATTTTTTGTACTAAAAAATTCACCTATTTTCTTTGTTGGCCTACCACTTTTTCTTTTCTCACCGATTGATACTGTTTTCATTACTAGTGATGCTTTGCAATATTTCAAATAGATAACCATACCTATAAAACCAGTTGGATCGAGTTTGGCTTGTGAAAATTATGAACTTGACGAGCTTTAATATCAACAACAAGTTTATATAGACATATATAATTCTTTAGAAAAGCTAAACAGTTTCATTGTGATTTGTTCCAATTTGTATCATGCTCAATCTTCATAGGCAAAATATTGAACGATATTTTTGAATTGATTAAAAATTCTTCACACTTTATTTTTATATTTATTTAAATCGACTTGTGTAATCAATTGTGAATCACAAAGTGTTATATAATACTTTAACATTATCATACAAGTTTCATACGGTTTTCATTAACTTTTGAAACTTCAAAACTATCAACAAAGCAATGTATTTTTAGTCAATTATTTCGAATAATCGGTCCTGTCAAAATGGATTTAATTTGAGGATCTATAGACAATGCAATATGTTGCTCAAGTTATAAATTTTTTTTGCTTTTTGATGGGGTTGTAACCCCATATATTAATCATCAATTGATCGCTTTATTTAACGAGATCTAAATTTGATGTGCTGATAGACACTTGGTATATTCACTGCATTCATTATTCATTTTTACTATTCAACAAATATATTTATATTCAAAAGTTGAAGTAACTAAAAATCTTGTTTTAATTTCATGAGACATTATTCGCCATGCTCAATGTTATGTCTTTTCAGTCAGACGAAATTTAATTTAATTCAAAACTATTATGATATTCGAAATCAGCATAAAAAACTGAATTAGTTTAGGTACGATTTAAAAAATTTCTGTCACATTTTTTTTCATCGAAAAATTCACTCATCGTCCACTCAGACATCCGATGAAAACTAAGTTACATCAAAACACCATTTCGACACTATAACTAAATCATTTAAATAATAAAAGCAAGATATACAAAGAGTTTATTTTTTCTTCTAATTCCTGAGAGAACTACAGGTACACTTTTCGACGGAAAACACATGTTACTGAAATTCTGTAAACTCTAAAGGGTGTCCCAGAAATTCTGATACGTTTTAAAAATTCATCGTTCTCGCATTGAATAAAACAACGTCTTTGAAACTTTGGCAGATTATTTCACATACTTAGTACTACATAACTATAAAGTTTCAGATCTATAGCTTTTACTATAGGTGAGAACCTGTAACAACATTATCATGCACTATTTTTTCAATTTTTTTATAACTTATATTAACAAAATTCGATACAGGAATCGCTCAGCAATCTCCAGTTTTTATCGATGAATGGTTAGAGCTCATCATACCACAAGATAGTGATCATCGTAAGAAAATGTATTTTACGGATAACGGATATTCAAAATTCATTCGAATTATTGTAGCACAAAAAGCAGCTCAAGAATTAGGTAATTTACGAAATGTTATTTTTCAAGATGATGAAGATCATAAGTAAAGAGGGGAGGGTGAGGAGAGGAGAAGCTTTGGATGTTGTTAAACATGTTTTAATCAATCAAATTTTACCAATAAATTGTGCTACAAAACTAATCGACGTTTGGCCTATTGGAAACATTTGGGATCTATTAAGAGTAAATTTAGGGGGGCGATAATATAGTAATATTGAACAATTGAAAAATGACATTAAAAAGGAATGGAACAAATGTTGTGTTTTTTTATGTCAACAAATGATACATAAAATACCAGCACGATTAAAATTAGTAATCGAGCAGGGTAGTAATCACATACGGGAACGTTGACAACTTGTTTTGTGTTTCTTTTTATTTCCAATAGTTGTACGGTTTTTAAAATAATAACCAACATGATCAAGACAATTAAAAAAATAGTACATGTTAGTGTTGTTACTTTTTTTTCACCCATAGTGCAAGCTATAGACTTGAAACTTTGTAGTTATGTAACGACGAATTTTTAAAACGTATCAGAATTTCTGGGACACCCTTTATATTTGCAAATCATTTGTATTAGATTAATCATGAAAATCGCTCATTATATACCATTGAAAATTTTGAACTTGAAATATCTACACTTATCATCTATCAACGGCATATTCAATCAGGCTCAGATGAACAACGAATTCATAGAAAATTAGAAGAAAAACATTTATTTTTTGCTTTTTTTGAAATATGAAATTCATTATGCAATAGCTAACTGTGGGTGTGGGTGTGGGAGACGAAAATATTAATAGTAAAACAAAAAAACCTGTTGAGCAACATCACCTGCTGATCCCAATTCTAATAAGCGTTTAGAAAAGCTTGTTGCAGTTTTATAAGTTTTTAATTTAAGTGCTTGATTAACTGGAGATTTTAATTTCATGATTTTGTGTATTGATTGTAATTGCCAATGAGTAAAATAAACAACTAATTCATATGATCGTTTTTATTATCTTTTGCTAAATCTCTTTTTTTTACCATTGATATTCGTAAACCAACAATATTTATTCTTTATATATTTCAATTCATTATTGATCTTGAAATTTTTTGTTTTTTGTTAAACAATAAGCAATTTAAATTCGTCTAACTAATTTTTCTAAGGGTGTGGGTGTGGGTGTTAGTAGGCGTGGGCGTGGGTGTGTGGGTGTGGATGTGGGTATGAGGTGTGGGTGTAGGCATAAATGTTGACCAAGGGATCACTGACACGCACACCCACACCCACCCACATCCACACCCACACCCACACTCACACTCACACCCAGAATTTGGAGCACAGTTTATAATCCAGCATCTCAGTTAGTTTTTATGAATGGCTTATTCCTCTCCTCTAATAGTCATGTTTCTAAGTTTGTATTCGTAGCTATAGTTACACAATGTAAATTTGATTCTTATTATCAAATTCAATAATATTCTCAACTTTGATTACTAATTTAGAAAGGAGGCCAATATCTTACATTCTCTCAGTTTCGAGAGAAAATGACCATATGACTCTTTAGATAATGATATTCACTTTATATGATGCAAATTGAGAAGAAGATTGTTCTTACATGTGGGAATTCTTATTGTGTCTAAATTTCAACAGCCAATTACTTCGGTAGTGCACAGTTAACAATTGAATAATAATCCTAATGATCAGTGGTGAAAAGACTGCTTGTTTTTTGTACTTTTTTTTATGTATCGTTGCTCCAAACTTTTGTCAGAAAACGAATCATTAATAATTCTTCGTGTTGCAGCTGTTATAAGTATTAATCAACTTTATTATGCATCCGAATGAACTCCTTATGAAAAACTTAAACCCAACAACGATTAAATAAGATAATTACTTTACCAACAGTGTCTGTAAGGCTCGACGATTATCTAATTTCTATGATAATGGACTACAAAATCAAATGATTTAAACCAATACCAAGCTTCGAACGTACTATCTGCTGTAATACATGCAACAAAATCATCGAGTTTTAACGTCATACCGATCTGTGTTGCTGTTGACAGTATCTTTTATTTATTGCAACAATCAACAAGTGATATACATATTTTTTTATTGATATTGGACGTTCGCATCTTTATCTCTATTCATTTTAAATCGATTTTCGACATCATTTTATTTCGTTTTCTTGTAATGGTGTTACCTGTTGATGGATTCTTGAGCCGATGTAAGTTGCCGAGTACGTCCTCTCAAGTTGTCTGAATTTTCGTTCAATAATTTGAATACTATACGAATTGAGCACTTTTTTTAATATTTATATGACAATGTCATTTATTTTATTGATTTCAGTAGAATGACTCCTGAAACTGCCCGATAACTTCAGTCGCCACAATGAAAGATGATCAACTGATACAAAGATATATATATAAGAACATAACAGACTCAAAACAAAATTCAATTCTCATCTATAAATTTTCAACAGGTGAACATCGATCTTCAATCAAAAACATTGTTTGCATATTCAACTGCATACGATCTCTCTATGGCTTCTTCACTATTACCAAGTATCTTCATGCGATTCAAATGATTTGTTAGCCTCAAAATAACTTTAATTCCACTTTTCATTTCTAATTTCACGAAATCAAATTAAAAAATGCACATCTGTGCCGATTGGGTTACGAATAAAAAAACTCACTGACGTCCGACATGCATGCCATGGTGAATATTGACCATGGAAGCAGTACATGCGACAAACCACCTATTACCGTCAAGCTTATTACCTGCCGCTGAAAATCATAGCACAACTTTAACGCCATTCACTTCTATGCACTTTAAAAACACCATCAACAACATTTAGGCAACTCTCTTGAACATAGCACTAACTATTCAACGACAGCCGTCATGAACCATTTCAAGAGACACACGTTTCTACACAATCCAAAAATCCGAAAACACATTAAACACTGCCTGGAAATAATGCAACGTTTAGGAGACATACTGTTCCACATTCATCTCCATTGAATCCACCTAGCACATAGCACCCACCGAAACGCTACACACTAAAACACAGACAATCATCTTCAAACATGTCCCAGTGCACCATACCATAACCGCTCAAAACACTATGATGATAACACTTCTGCTTTTAACTCATATTTCTTCAAATCTATCTTCAAACTTCTTCGAAAAAATATAGCACCAAGCCCATCACACCACCAAAATATCCGTAAAACAGATACAGCATTGAATTATAAAATCGAAACATATTCCACCCATCCCCAAGTAAAATAAAACTTTCCCTATCCACCACAGAAAAACACTACAAGGTTTCGCAGCCCCAAACAACACGAAAAGAACTCTAAAATTCAAGCAAACACCCAGCGACTCAAAACACAATTCTTCACTAAAACCACCACCAGCAACCAACTAATTCCACTACCACTCTCACCCATTCTACCGCGACACCATATACAACCCAATCATCAAATAAAATAAACCATCGACGCCCGACCACTATTAAACTAATGCAACCAAACCACAGAACACACTCATATCATACCCTGTCCCATCTACTCATGCATTCCCAATGTTCGATTCCACGTGATCAAAAGAAGTGAACAGAAATATCATAAGGAATGTTCCTTTGCCATGTGATCTTTCCTCCGCTGATTGATTGTGGTCGAGTTTGGAATGGCGAGGGCAGCCTCACGGGTTGAAATGCGAAGATATGATGCCTCTGAGTATCTGATGCGAAGGTGGGTTCATCGCAATGTGATGTTGTTAATTAAATGTATCTTTTAATTCATTTGAGATCTTGATGTCGTTTTGTTTTTAAGGAAGCATAGTTTTTTTTATCAGGCTGGCTAGGGAAGAGAAACCTAGGAATGGTTGAACTCGTGGGCGTCAGTATAATAGGGGTGGTTTGTATCAAAAGGTTTGATGTTAGGTGCGTTGGGTAGTGAAAAATTGTTTGAGTTGATTCGGACGATTATTATTTTATCAGGAATATAGGAGAAGTTGTAGGAGTATGTCGTTGCGATTAAATGAATTGTTAGAGCTTTATTGTCACGGAGGGTTATGAGACTGTGATATGTAATTAGATAATAACTAGTGTGAGTAAAAGTTTGTTGGCATTTTCTGTGGGGTAAGTTTGATTAGATTTATCCAAATGGGGGTGAGTGGTTAAGCTGTATAATGGTTTCAAGAATAATCGGTTGTGTGTTATGAGGACTGCATATTTGCAATGGTAGACGAGAGTTGAGTTTAGCCAGTTGAGTCATCAGTATGCAAGATATTTGTTATAGCGAGAAATTTGCTGTAAGCGCTGGTGTACGTAGCACTTTGACTATCGGGTGATGTCACACACTGGTAAGTACAGGCGACAATGGCATGTTTGATGGTGTCAATGGTAAGTGGTTGCAATGAATAAATGGAACCTTAAAATCGAGATATGCGCCAAAAATTACGAATATTGCTTGTTTAAAAACGTTTTCGGTGATTATTAGAGCGCTCTTCGAGATTTGACAGCAAAATACGAAACGAACATTGATCATTACTCCTGTGGGTTGATAGTTAGGTGAAAAAGTACTACAATAATAAAAACACAGCTTTAAAAAAAATTGAAAATGTGTCTGAAAATACATTTCGTCGTATTTCGACAAAAGATCTTTTTTGCGCACTGAGTGTTGCCAGAGAAACTCTGCTGTTTAATGATATGTGAGTTACTTTATTGTTTAGATCACTTTCGTGAATGTTACATTCAGATCATTGCTAAGCTAATATCTGCTCTTAGGTTGATAATTGTTCTCGAAAAAAATCAAATGGGAAGTTCATGGGAAAGTCTACGATAAATCACCGGTATTGAGTTCAATTAAACTCAGCACTCCTAGTCCTTCAAACAAAATCAAATTCTTAGTTAGTTAGATCTGTTTCAAGCCATATCATTATTACCTGCATTATCATCATCACCATTAAATCTTCTAAAATTTTTGTTCTAACAAGTGAAATATTTTTCTCGTCTAATATTCATAAACAACCAATAAAGTAACAGCTGAAATCAGACTTTGTTCGATTAAAACGTTG